TCGTTCGTTGGGACTTGTTCTTCATTTACCACACCTTCGACTGCGGGTTGTACAAATCTGCAGAGTTCCACTCTGTCAAACTCAATTGGTGGTGTCAAAGAATAATCCCCTGGATAAACAACAAGCGCTCGCACCACCCTTGTCGTTGTCCTCTGGCAAAAATCCTTAAAGTCATCCAGCTCTAATCGCCAGTATGTGCGCGATGCGTTTGTCGATCTAGGCATTCGCAGTCTTCCCGGCAAGAACAACACACCTACCCCTTCGGTTAACAAACCTGTTTGCTTTGTCAGAAATCACATAAAGCTCCTCGCATACGATGCCTTGCCATCAACAAATATATACTGAGAGGCCACCACCCTCGATCATACCCAAATTGCAAAGGTATTCTTTGAGGGTTGTTAGTCTTCACAAGCTTCCCACCCTCCCAAAATGCTGGCAAAAAGCCAGGTGTCATGCACAACAATAGAACTAGCACATCGCTAGCCAGCAGACGAAAAGCGCCATTTGGAATATACTCATCACTCTCAAAGTACATTGCCATTGTCAATACCCTTGGCAGTACTTTTGCATAAGGACGCACAACAAATTGAAAACTCTGATCAATCCCATAGCTGAGGTGACTTTGAGGAGCACGCCCATGCTACCTCATCCCTCGCACAACCAGATTTCCCTTGGGCAACGCCACATGTGTAGTTGCATAAGACTTGATCCCCTCACACAAAAACATTTGTAAAAACAAGGAGGATACATAGGAATTAATCAGATATCGCCCTACAGAGCGCGATGAGTCATCTGCCACCATATCCAGTCTATGGTATAATTCCCAGAAATAGGGGCTCCAATGCTATTATTACCCCACTTGCTAACTTAACTACGATATCTATGTGATATGATAAGGGTGCATCGCTTGAGCAAATACTGCGATACCCAGCATAACTGGTACGCAGCCAGATTTGAGGGGTGCCCCACCCAAGGACCTGCAATGACTGCTTTGCCCTACTCTGACAACCCTTTCTTTGACATAGGGAAGTCCCTATAATGATACCTCACCCACGAGCCAAAAGTTCACTTGCGCGCCCCCTTCCCTCGATCTGCAAGTTTCGCTCCTTTGTTTTGGTCCCATAATTCTTTGTGGTTACCAATGCCTCAATTAGATCCCCAATCAAGCCATTTTCCATATCATTAAAATGTCCATATTGTAGGGTTCTCTTGAGTCTTGAAAAGTCAGCCTCAATAATTGGGTCACATCCTCAATGGTAGGAGTAAATTCTCCCATGTTGTGATAAAGATATGTGAACTTGTGCTCTAGCACGACACCAATTGCCACTGGCATCTCGCGGAACACTCAAACTAAGAAACATTCTGATTGATGAAATCACCCCGGTCGCTGTCAGGAAACGCACATTCTCTGCATTGCCTAAATTGTATCTGCCCATTCCTCCCACCCATGACCTGGACTTGTATGATTCACAAAATCCACATATGACCATGGGTATCTACCCCGTTCCACATTAAATGGCAGCACTGTGTCTGCGGGAATACGATGAGTAGTGGCAATATCTTCCTCCTCCATTAACTCCGGCAATTCTAGAGGTTCCCTCCCCCTCAACCCCACTTCGGTCCGCCCATCGCCAAAACCGGTCATGTTTCCCAAAGAATGGCACTCGTTGCCACTCAGAGTCCGGCGGTACTCGCTGTGGCACCTCATCTTGTTTACTCAACTCTTTACACACCATTATTTTTCAAACTAAAAGCTCTTTACAAGACAACAATGGTGATCTCCAAGACACACAAACGATTTCTCTTTTCTTTCACTAAAAGTATCACAAGCAGACATGTCCTTTTAAGCACGCCTCATTGGGACTCTCCATACGAAGTGACACTAAAACGGCGCCTTAATGACTCCAGACGTCATTTTAATACCCTCGGTCAAATGCATCTCTACTAAACTTATGTTGCACGCGCACCACTTCATGCTGAACTGCTACGTGCACAGGGGGACTAAATGTAGGTGTCGTATATTTCCAGCTGACGTGGCACGTTGAAAAGTAAAAAAATACTTGGATTGTTAAGGCCACGTGGCATGTTGAAAAGTCAAAGTACTCACCCTTGAGTCACCACACCCTGGCATCGCGCCCAGGTTATCAACCTCGAGGGCCTTGCCCTCGAGTCACCAAACCCTGGCATCGCGCTGAGGTCATCAAACCTCGAGGACCTTGCCCTTGAGTCATCAAGCTTTGGCATCGCGCCAGGTCATCAAGTCTCGAGGAGCTAAGCCTCGAAGCGTTGTCAAAGTCTTGCTCAAGTAGAATACGAAATGAAGGTAGGGCCTTCTTGGATACTTGATGCCTTGTCTTTGGGATACTTTGAAGGACCTTGGATTGGTGGATGAGAATTCAGAAGATGCTTTGCAAGTACAAAGATGTTTGATCAATGAGACGATGGATATGTGCCGTGACAGAGAACCTTAACATCACATTTAATGCTCTGACATTATCATTATTAACCTGGCTACCGTGGTCAAGTAATGACAAAACGCATTTAATACTCAGGATAAGAGAGGCTCGGCATATCGAATGGTTTGATGAGAGGAAGTGATCTCTTAGGTACCTAGAGCCATTATACCTATCTATATAGGTACGAAGCAAATGACAAGACATGCAATGGACCATTGGGTAATACCTAGAGCGTTCTAGGCCTATAAATACCACTCTTAGAGGAAAGGTTCATTAAGGCAGGACAAGCTGGGACTCTGTCGCGATTACAGCACAATCTCCCTACCACCATCAGTACTTTCATTGATCGGTTTACTTCTTCTTCATCTAGTTCATTCTTTGTATCCTTATCTATATATATATATATATATATATATATATATATATGCTTATTAATACGATACTTCTACTTTCATAGCGTTTACGAAAATACTAGTGAAGTATATAATTGTTGTTGTCATAACAAAAATTGTATTGTTTCTCTATATCATTTGTTCAGCTAATATGTCATGTTAAAGCTAAGGCGGGACCCGAAGCAACTTACATTCTCTAAATTTGAGATGAAAATATGAGAATGGAAGGCAAACAATATGGAATCTTCACCCAATAGGAAGCTTGACTGGCACGAAAGCTAAGAGTCGAATGGGTTACAATAACTGAAGGGATAAGGATAATAAATGACTTCCCCATTCATAGTGGAGAAGTAAAAGGAATAACTTCCCTACTTGAATGCTACCTCCTGCCTCTATAAAGAGGGGGTTCGGGTCAACTCGAAAAGGTACTAAAAAAATCCATAGCTAAAGTCCTTTCCCCTTCCTTTGCTTTCAGGATCTGGTACTAACTTCATCGTCAGGGACCCCTAGGCTGGTGTGGTACCGGTGCCTCTCCAGTTACTTTTTCTCTTCCTTTCAGGTACGACGCTGTTCTCGATCGCGGTGGAATCTTACATCAACAGTTATAGACCATAGCATTACGCGCCATGCTTATGGCCACTCTCCCTAGGAGCAAGTTTCTTTAGACAAGTTTGTTTTCTGGGAACTTGCCTCTCATGGGCCATCAGCCTGCATAGCGACTAACCCATCTGTCTGCGACAAGGGTTGTTGCTGTCGCGGGTAAATTCTTACCCACAGATGGAGCTAGTTTACTTTTGGCTGAGATGAGTTGTTTTTCCTTACCTGTGGATGTAGTAGATGCCGCCGATGTCTTGTTTCAGCTTTTTCTTCCTTTTATATCTTTCCGTTCTTTCATATCCCTTTACACCATGCAGCCCAAAGCATAGATCAGATTGTTGAAAGATCGTTAAATGGCATGTATAAAAGATTTGGAGAAACCATACAACAGTATGCTAGGTTGACTGTGGTTGGTTTGTAAATAAACGACTATCAATTCTATATGCATTTGATAAAGGACCCTAAGTTAGAGTGGTAACTAGTATGAGACTAATTAGAGGGATAGTTAATTTTGAATCATAAAAGGTTTAAAGAAGTATGTGACCAAGTACACTATGTTGGAGTGGTAACTAGTAGCAGGATAATTAGAGGGACAAGTGAATGTTGAATCCTGATACGTATGCATTGAAGGTTGGCATTGAGTTATCAGCTTCTTCTTTTGTTCAGTTCAGTTTTTTTTTTTTTTTGGACATACATATATGGTTGTTCTATAATGCAGAAACTTCACTAACATATAGCTCTAGTTGTAAAATGACAATACAAAATATAAGTTAGATTCTGTTAGAAACTTCACAATACTTGCTCTATAATTATTCATACTTTATATAGGTATAATTGATATTTTTCTTTACGGGAAGCAACAAATGGACAAGCACATCCAGAGACACAAAGAGAATAGTCAAGGTAATGGAGGACGAGATATTGAATAAGAAAAATAACAAAGGAAATGACAAAGGGGGTTTTTGACAACCCTGAACCCAAATCTGAAAAAGTTGAGGCAGTATGACAGCAGTAAACTATAAAATGTAAATAGTTTGAAGTATATTTTGAATAGGAACTTTCAAAGTCGATCATATACTAGATAATTTGTCTATTGGAAACAGACCTACACAGAGGAGGGAATCAAAGTAATGGAGAATGCAATCTTCTCTACAATGAGTGAACAAAATAAATGATAAAATTGAAGGTGCCCACCAAATTTCTCCTGATTTATAGGAACTAAAGGAGTGAATGAAATCCAATTAACTTAAATCAAGTCATAGCAGGTCTTTCCACTGGGATGATAGCCTTCAAGTTTGCCAATTTCAGGGTCGGTCTCAAGGAACTTGCAATTTATTGTTTAGTGATATCAAATTTCTGTCAAATGAAATATTCCATTCATCATGTATTGACTTCTGCCAAATTACTCTTCTTCATATTTTCTTTACCTTTTCTCCACTAACATTCTTGGATGAAATTACGGTAATTACTTGGTTCAATCTCTGTAAATTTAGGCCTGCTTGTTGTAAGAAGCTGGACGTCTCACACTTTTGACACAGGATCTGAATTGATGCAGTCCAGTTTTCTTAATGGTGCTTCTCCCAATGCTGTCTCTTATGCTAAAAGCAGACTTGAGGTTCCGACCCTCTTTTTAAGATCAGGTTTCTCATTTAATGCTCGAATGCATGGTCAATGCATTTTTCTATCAAATGCACTGGTATGGGATCTGTAGACAGTCTTGCTTCCTTTTGGGCAAGACTGAAGAACGAAATAGACAGAAGATTGATGTATGTTAATTTTCATTTTAATTTTAATAGATTCTGTTGTTTTGATTTGGACTACTTTAGTTGTTTATTTGGCCAGTTGCATTATTCACTTGCCTAGTTTGTAATAAGTGCATTAACTCATTGTATATTAATATTTTTATTTTGCTCTGTTTATGCATTATATGTGGATGAAATAGTGAATTACCTTTCCTTTCTATTTTTAATGTAGGGTTTAATGCAGCATCATGATGAAATAGTCGAATATTTTAACACCAAGGGTGTTTCAGTGATTTTTCTCTTCAGAAGAAATCTTTTACGCAGGATGATTTCAATACTTGCAAATTCTTATGATAGAGATGCTAAGCTACTGAATGGGACACATAAATCTCATGTGCATTCACCCCAGGAGGTCTCTCACTCTCTCTCTGTCTCTCTCTGTGTCTCTGTCTCTCTTATATTTCCTGAAGACATGCTCATTTTCCAGGCTGAAATACTTTCAAGATACAAACCTAAAATTAATACAACATTGCTGATACCCAACCTAAGGCAAGTGGACGAGATGACTGCCAAAGCTTTAGAACACTTCAAGAGCACACGACATATTATCCTTTATTACGAGGAGATAATAAAGGATCATACGGTAAGTAATACATATTATGACACTGATTTGCCGCCTCTTTTTTTTGAAGTAGGTGGAGGGTGGTAAATGGACATCTTATTTTCTCTCTAATCAATCATTACAAGTGTTTTAATGTACGTTTCACTGCTCCAGGATCCATATGGGATGCACATGAAAGCAGGATTATGAATGATTGAATGGAAGATGTCCATTTATACCCCAAGCTGATCTTTCGTTTCTTATTTGAAAAGAAAAAAAAAATATTACATTGTCCTTCTTTTCGATACTTCTACACAAAGGTTTAGCTATTTTCCATTTCTTCTGCAGAAACTAATAGAAGTTCAAGATTTTCTGAAAGTTCCGCGGAGGGATCTAAAGAGTCGTCAGGTGAAGATACACAAAGGGTCCTTGTCTGAACAGGTTGAGAACTGGGATGACATCCAAAGGGCGCTCCGGGGAACACCGTATGAAAGTTTCCTCCATGCAGATTATGAAATATAGACTAGTGCACCTACTGTAAATATCATATTCTGTTGTTTTGCTTATTTTTTATTATTTGTTTTAAATAGTAGAAGCCAACAGGAGATCCATCCTGTTGAAATTTTGGCCAGATGCTTGCCTGTTGTCAAATTTTGTTTCCTCCTTCCCTTTTTTTTTATTATTATTATTTTATGTAATATAAACATTGGTGTAGGGGGAGCTAATTCAAAGAGGGAAAAAAAAACAAGGATGTGGCTTGTGCCTTTCTTTATTGTTGTTGCTGCTGCAGTATTGTAATTTGTAAAGGCCAAAATATTGCAAGCTTTATGAGGCTGATTGCTGATAAACGATGTTCTTAGGGCTTATTTAGATTGGATGAATCCATTTCAATTTATGACAATGTGATTTAAGACATGGAGACTGATTTAGACTCTCAATGAACATGTGAAATTTTTGTTCATAATTTTATTTTGAGTAGTGATATTCATACTAAACACTTGCAATGAATTGCTTAACCGAATAATTTTTAATTAACTATTTATATCAAATATAATTAAGTGGAGTACTTCACTCTTTTATTTGTTGCATAATTAATCAATTAAAAAAATATGTTTAACAATTTAATCATTTTACTTTTATTTTATTACTTTTCTCTACTTATTTGAAAGAGTTAAACCCGATTAACTGTATCATAAATAATAATAATAAAAAAATCGTTTAATTTACTTACAGGAAAAGGATGCGAAACGCCGTACATTTTGGGTGGAATTAGATTCAAATGGTCAGGGCAATCTGAAACCGAATTGCACTCCATTTATTCATTATTATCGATAATGCCATTACGCGTGGTATGGTGGGATTGGATTCAAATATTGGACGGCTTTTAGCCGCGTTACCTTCTCCGAGATCTAGTCACATACCTTGTAGAGTAAATATATTTTTCAACACAATTAACATATTTACAAAATTGAATATTTAAAAATTGCACTCCATTTATTCATTATTATCTATAATGCCATTAAGCGTGGCATGGTGACACTGGATTCAAATTTTGGCTCCAAGACGGCGTTACCTTCTCCGAGATGGTGGTCTGACATGTAGTCACATCCCTTTTTAAAATTTTCAAATAATTGCACCAAACAAGCTAATTTTGTTTAGACCCAAACGGTCGATTTGTTTCTTTTCTTTTAAACCCTTCTTCTACTTCTACCCCACACTAACGCATCTCTCTCTCTCTCTCTCTTCGTCCATAGAGTGAAGAACAAATGGCTATCAATCAGATTTCGCTCTCTAATCGAAGCCCAGTTCATTCTGACTCAAGGGTCTCTCTTCCCCTCTCTCTCTCTCTCTCTCTCCCTATATATATATATATATATAGGTTTATGTGTATGCTTTATTATACACAGTTGAACATTTGTAATTTTAAATTTGTTTTCTTGTAGAATAAGGGGAGGAAGCCACCGGAGACCAAGAAGAAATTGTCGAAAAAAAGACCATCTGGCCCTAAATATATGACCAAGAAAGTAAGGATATTTTCCCTATATATATATATATATATATATATATATATATATATATATAATTTTCTGAGAAATTATATTCACCAATTAATTAGAGGTTAGAGTTTTCACCTTCAAATTGTCTCATTGGAGATTGCTGATTTAATTAATTAATTTCTAATAGCTTGGTTCTGTTTTCATTTCCTATTTTGCTCTGTTCATTAATACTGTGTAGTAATAGTATTTATAAAGCCCCTTGGGTTCTTTTGCTCTTTGTAGATGCTTATGTCTAGGTTCTTGTGTTTCATTAATGTGTAATAGTCCGTACATTAGTAATATATAAGCTCTCTAAAAAGTAGAAATCTATTGTTGAAAAAAGTCATCATCTCAAATACCGAAAATTGAATTTACACATTATGTTTAGGTTCCATTTGATTAGATGGGAATAGCAATAAAAGAAAGAAAATTAACTTTTTCTAATCACTTTAGGAGTTTGAAGGAAAAGGAAAATTTTGAAGGAAAGTAATTTGAGACGACCACCTAAGTGGCTAAGTATACAAAAAAAAGTTATCCTACAAAAACATAGGAAAATTTTGATTTTATGAGTTTACAAAAATACCCCTCTTGTAAATTTCACGCATTCCCAACCATGAAATGGCAACAATACCCCTTTTTTCTTATAACTCTCTATGCTAGTCAAATGTATGTTGGAAAATTTATTTTCCTATCATTCATTTTCTGCTATCAGTTTCAATGTAACCAAACCAGACCATAGCCAAAAAGGAGATGCACTTTTGAAGCAATGAAGTGATGATTCCATGAGAAAGGAGCCCTAAAAAGTCGAGAAATTATTAGGTAGTCCAAGACCACATGATCCCGACCAATCACACTTTTTAGGAAAAAAATATTAGGTAGTCTGGGATTGTGAGGTCCTGGCCAATCACAAATTTTTAGCAACCTTGCGTGGCCTTTTTGTGGTTGCTGCGGACAGAGCTAAAAGGTGACGTGACGGGAAACGTATCTCCACATTTCTAACCTCGGGAGAGGACGACGTTGATTGAGCTTTTCCATGCCTAGTACCCGGGACCCCATGGTCCCAGACTACCTAATAATTTTGTTTGGAGCAAGGCATCTACGCCCTAGCATAGGAAAGTTCAAACTTTCCTCTATTTCCAATTCCAGGTTGTCAATTTTGTGTTTCCAAACATAACATGAAAGTAAGTTGTGCTCTTCTTGCCAATATATATGATTTTTTAGTGTCCTTTAATTTTCATCACTTGTGCTCTGGTGTACCATCTAACTTAATTACCTAAGATGTAAAATTTATTTATGATAGACGATGTTGATTGAGCTTTTCCATGCCTAGTACCCGGGACCCCATGGTATAGTATTTAATATATATGATTTTTTTTGTGTCCTTTAATTTTCATCACTTGTGCTCTGGTGTACCATCTAACTTAATTACCTAAGACGTAAAATTTATTTATAATAGTTTGGAAATTTTTTTTCTAGTCAGGTATAGTATTTAATATTTGTTGATTTACTAATTTCTTCTCGTCAATGGCAATAGTTGGCATTGTTATGTCATGGGTTATAGAGGTAAAACTAATTGGAAATTTCTTATGATTTTTTTTGATCAGGTAACTAATGATAAACCAAAGATTTCCAAAAGGTCAGTGTGTGTATATATAGTATGTGAAGTGGGTTTTTGATCTTCTTCAACAATGATGGAGATTTATTTGTTCTGAAACCATGCTGCCTCTGAAAATTGATTGAGCAGTGAAGGGGTAGGAGCTATAATCTGTCTCCAAACCAAGGCATCTGTCATAGAGCGAGCGCAAGAGGTTGAAGCAAATTTAGTAGCTGACTTCCCTAGCTTTGTGAAGCCTATGCTTCCATCACACGTTACTGGTGGATTTTGGCTGGTAAAATCTATGCAAATTCTGTCCAAATTCATGAATTAGTCCAAATTTCCAAATACAAATCTATGCAACTATTTTTTTGACAGGGGTTACCCAAGCGATTCTGTAACTTGCATTTGCCGAGGCATGACGAGACTGTCATTTTGTTGGATGGAAGTGGAGAAGAGTACAGGACAAAGTATCTGGCGGATAAGAATGGACTGAGTGGTGGATGGAGAGGCTTCTCCATTGCACACAAATTACTTGAGGGAGATGTTTTAGTTTTCCAATTGATTGAACCTTGCAAATTTAAGGTAACTGCTTCTTTTATGCTTATATGCCACTTTGTTTCTCATGTTTTCTAATTACTTTTATATATTTCAGTTACTAATCGTGTGTATATTTGACTAACTAGGAGTGGCCTTTTAATGCATCAAAATTTTTTGATCTAAAGTACGATCAAAATTGAGATTTCTGAGTCGTATTGCATCTCCATTCTAATTCATTGAGTAATTTAAGATTGCGTTGACCAATGGATTGCTTCAATTGTATTATTTGGTAATTTGAGTTTCTTGATGCATGTGGCAGTCCAAAATACTTGTTGGTGCTTGTAAAATGGGCTTCCTCACCTCATATACTACGTGCATGTCGAATTTGAGTGGTATTTCTACTGCTTGAAGTTGTTTCTTGTTCGAAGTGAGGAACACTTGTTTGTCACCTACTGTCTTCCATCTTTTGTAGGTGTACATTGTTAGAGCAAATGACTTGACAGAAATTGATGGGGCTATTGGTCTTCTATGTTTAGATGCTTGTGCAAAACCGATGGATATTGGTAAGTTGGTTCACTTTTTTGTTTCACTAAGTTCATTGGCCCAAAAATGCTACTTATCATCATTTTCTTTTTTCATAAAAGATCAAATAGAAAACAACGCGAAACAAAAGGACGTGGAGAAATGGTTGCAGCCAATTCCGCTAGACCATCATCAAGAAAATATTAAAAAAGATGGCGTGATGGTGCTAAGTGACCTTGGACCTCCTGCATCAGATCAGTCCATAGACAACGGTGATCAGGCCATAGACAACGGTGATTATACTAGCTTTGAAGGCATCAGGTTTTCGGAATCCACTGTTGATTTTAAAGATGTGAAGTGTTTTGAGAATTTCACCATTCTCGTGGATGGTTTAGTTATGGATTCCCAGGTACCTCAACACCTTCGTGTCAAGTATTATGAGCTTTGCCGTAGTCAAGAAGCATTTCTTCATGATCACCTTGTCAAGGGCCTAAACTTTAACTTAGCTGCTGGCATAATTTCTGAAACTGTCAACATCGCGGATGCAATTAGAGCTTCCAAGCCAACAACCTCTCAGGATGATTTCACAACTTGGGACCGGACTCTAAAAGCATTTGAGGACTTGGGCATGAATGTTGGGTTCCTACGTGCTCGTCTTAATAGGCTTTTGACCCTCGCATATGAATCGCAGAAGGTTATAGAATCAAAGAGAGTCGAAAGAATTCAAGCTGTAGAGGAGATGAAAACCCTTGAAGCACAGCGTTTAGAAGTGGAACTGGTGATAAAAAGTCTAGATGCTGAGATTGAGTCCATGAAGTTAAAAGGGGAGAGGCTAGAACTCAAGTTCCAGGAAGAGGCTAATGCAATATGGTGAAGGATCAAAATCCTCGCCTGTGCAACAGTAAACCGGCCCCCTCCAGTTAGTGATATGGGATGCAAACCTAACATTACAACATTTCCCTAACGTGCATCACTAACTTGAGGGGACCAGTTTGTTGTCGTGCAGGAGAGGATTTTAGTCCATATGGTGAAAAGCTCTCTCTGCTTTTTTTTGGGTTGATGTGTAGATAGTCTTTTTTGTTTTTGGAGTTGCACATGCATCATCAACATGCTAGTAATGAGGGGACTGGTTTATTGTTGTGCAGGAGAAGATTTTAGTCCATATGGTGAAAAGCCCTCTCTACTTTTTTTGGGTTCTGATGTGTAGATAGTCTTTTTGTTTTTGGAGTTGTACGTGCATCATCAATATGCTAGTAATGAGGGACCGGTTTACTGTTGTGCAGGAGAAGATTTTAGTCCATATGGTGAAAAGCCCTCTCTATTTTCTTTTGGGCACCGATGTGTGGATAGTCTTTTTGTTTTTGGAGTTGAACGTGCATCATCAATATGCTAGTGATGATCTATACTGAGGAACTAAGTTCCTGCATCTAAATGCTGTAATTTTTGCTTTTTGCTGACTGTTTTGATGATTGCAAAGTAATCTTGGATACACTCGATATCACAAGCACCTTAATTATGTCATTCCAGCCAACGATGGCCTGAACGAATGAATTAAGTAGTTGCTTCTCGCAAGTGCATGACCAAGACTTTTAAAAAGGTCCATCACATTCCAATGGTTTTTCATTGGATGAATCACTTGATGGACAAAGTGTTCGAGAAAGGAAAAATAAACAATGCTCCCAAAATTTCGAATGAGACAACCGCCCTTTAGTGGAAAATGCTTACCACTGCAAACCCGGATATCGTTTTCAGGTGCTTTTCCCAATGTAATGCCAATATTGCATAACTACTACTCGAATGACACTTGTCTCAGCGGGCACAGTCTTCTCCTTACAACTAATTTGTCACGTGTGTTTTTATAACTTTAAAAAGTAAATGAAAAAACAATTAACCTAATTTTTATTTATTTATTTATTAAATGTCAATCCAACGTATCATAATAACGAGGTCTAATCCCACATCAACCAACAAAAAATACGAGTGAATATGTGACGTGAGGCAGTACTTATCTCCTTCAAATTAATACAAAACTATAAGTTGAAGTTGCAGACACGGCCATTAGGTTTTATCAACCATAGTGGCTCTACCACTAGCTCCCTAAGCTTAGCCAATGATCTCTATTCGTTAATATCCTGTTTCTGCTTATAAACCACTATCATAATTTGCATAATTACATGCGCAAACAGTTCATTCATTCATAACCTATGGGTTTCAAACTCTTCCCCAACCTCATTATTCCCTTGTTGTTTCTAATACCGTTTTCGTCTCCTAAGCCTCGTGCTTATGGGCAACTTGATTACAATTTTTATGATAGATCATGCCCTAATTTGTCTATGATAGTAAGATATGGTGTTTGGGCAGCTTTAAGGAATGACACCAGAATAGCTGCATCCCTTCTTCGCTTGCAGTTTCATGATTGTTTCGTAAATGTAAATTTTCTTCTCTTCAAATCTATTCCCTCCTCCATCTTTTTTATTTTTATTTTTTTAACAACAATATATATATATATATATATATATATATATATATATATAAACACACACTGTTTCATGTATATAATAGACTTGTAATATTTGTCTAATGGTAACTTAAATGGTGCTTAAGGTCAGTTCGCTAGGATTTAATTAGAACCGGCCATGTAGGGTGAAGAAAATTAATTAAAACCTTTTCTTATGAGTTTTTTTATTTTTTATTTTTATAATAGGTAATCACACAAAAGTATGACACAACCCTCTTATGAGTTTTTATTTTATTTTATTTATTTTATTTTTATTTTTATTGTAGGTAATCACACCAACATTTCAATTGTTGACTCAACCCTTAACTTTTTCATTTTGAAAGAAGAAGAAACATTACATCTTTATTTTAATGGAATAAAAGATACAATGGAATAGTACTAATAATGGGAAAAACACTACTACTAGATATACCACTAAGGCATTATCAAAGCATTAATTACTAAAAGACATACCACTAGATATACTAATATATAAAGCACTAATAATATTAAAATTAAAAACAATAATTTAAAACTTGAAAACAACTTACAAAAAACTTTCTTTCTTCAACTTCAATGCAAAGTACACACTTAGAAATATTACAAAAAAGAGAATAGAAAACTGATCAAAAGATAATATGAGGGTAAACAATACCCCCTTTTTATACATAAAATATTGAAATCGAAAATTAAACTTCGGAGTCCGTATAGTGGTTGGATGGCATGTGTTGAATTACTCTGCAGTCGAATGGTCCACTAGTAATTTCTGTCTTCTTATCATATAACGTTGCTAGTTCTCTGATAAAGGAGAAGTCATAATGATTGTTTGGCCGTGGACTGTAGAATTAAAGACTTTCTGAAAAATTCTTTTATCTTTTGTACGTGGAATCAAAACTTTTTAATGGAATTCCTTCTAATGGTAGATTCTCAATAAAGTTATCTTCTTCTGTCCGCAAGATAATTGAGAATCTTATTTTTTAAGAGCTTTCATCCTAGATGCCATTAAAACTGTAAGGGAATCCCAATAATCTCCAATACTCATTACTTCTTTATTTCATTTTTTACTTTTTTATTTTTATTTTTATTTTTTCTTTTGTTTTTCCTACAATGCATGACAAGAAATACCACTTAGTCACTTTCAGTGGGAGAGTTGAAGGTTTCCCTTAGTAAAAGTCGAGGCATTAATGCATAAACTTTTGCTTTTATTGGGAGCCGAGCCTTCAGAGTAAAGAAGTACCACTTCCATATAGTAGTGTATATATATACATAGTTTTGTTTTCATTGTTTTTATAGATAGTTAGTTACGTATACCAGTAAGAAATTGAGAATTTGAATCCTCAACTACTTAGTACAAACTACCCCTTCTTGAGCCAACTTGTTATATATATAGAGCGTAATATGCTGTCAAGAAAGCTTCCTTTGACAATAGTTACGAGTTCTCCAATATAATATTGATTGTGACAATTTTTTAATTTCTGTAAACGTGGGAGAGCTCATTGTTATTATAATGATAGAGCTCTATAAATACAATTACTTATATATATATATATATGCATAGTGAGAGTTCCAACACGATTGCAATTATCTGTAAAATTAGTTCAAACATGATTGCAATTATCTGTAAATTAAATTTGTGAATATATATATATATATATAGTCACAACCTCTTTCGATTTTCTTTCATGGCATAGGGTTGCGATGGTTCGGTGCTCCTTGATAACACTGAAAATTTCATGGGAGAGAAGAATGCGTTACCTAACCGCAATTCAGCTCGAGGGTTTGAAGTGATTGAGAATATAAAGGCATATGTTGAACGAGCTTGTCCGTTAATTGTTTCATGTGTTGATATATTAACTCTAGCAGCTAGAGAAGCTGTCTTTCTGGTAACTAAATTGGCACACTTTCTATGCATATCTACATTAATTTCGACAACTTTGCAATTAACATGTTTTATTTCTGTGTTCTGTTTCGTTTTTCTTTTGCTTAAGTCTGGAGGGACCCCCTGGCCTGTGGGATTAGGCCGGAGAGATGGGTTCACTGCAAGTGAGAACGCGGCGAATGAAAAGTTACCGTCGCCTTTTGAGCCTCTGGGAAATATCACTGCTAAGTTTGCAGCAAATGGTCTTGACTTGAAGGATGTTGTAGTTCTATCAGGTAAAGTCCTATACACTTATTATTATTATTTTTTTTGAAAGGTTAAGCAAACACATACACGCATGTCTTCACTAATACTTGATCAAACACCTGACCTCTCCTTTTAAAAAGGTCTTTTTCTTATTTTATTTTATAAGGGACTAAAAAAGAAAAAAAAAAAAAAAACTTTAGTTACTGTGTAGAACACAGTGGGATTATTAGTATGAACCTTTAAATACATCTTAAGATGAGGTGATTATCCGCAAATAATACTTGTTTATCTCCACACGAGTGAGGAGGAATCTCCTTCACACCACTGATATGACACAAGACGACAAGTGTTATTTTTAAAAATTTAAATATGAAAAAGAAAAAAAAAATGAGAATGAAACATAACCTTATCTCTTATATTTAAAATTCAAACTTGACATGTTTCATTGTATCAATGTGCCCACATTATTGCTGTGGAAGATGAATTTCTCACTGGTGTGGAGATGGACGACAAGTATTAATTTTTTAGTACTGTACTCATTGTTTTTAAAAATAAACAAAGAGAAGTATTGTTTGTGATTTCTGTATATTAATGTTGACATATATATATGGTGCTGTCACTCCTTTATGTTTTAGGAGCACACACTATAGGTTATGCTCAATGCTTCACATTCAAGAATAGACTGTTCGACTTCAAAGGCACTGGAAAGCCTGATCCACTTCTTGATTCTTCACTTCGCTCCAACTTGCAAAGTACATGCCCTAATGTAGATGGATCAAACAGCAACCTTGCTCCACTTGACTCCCAAACTGTTTACAGATTCGACAATACGTATTATAAGAACCTCGTGAACAAAATGGGACTTCTTGAATCTGATCAAGCCTTAATGGGGAATCCAAGGACTGCTGCAATGGTGTATGACTATAGCATGTACCCTTCTCTTTTCTCCAAGGATTTTGCAGCATCCATGGTGAAGCTTGGAAATATTGGGATACTCACTGGCAAAGATGGGGAGATTAGGAAGAAATGTGGATCTGTAAACTAGATTTGGCATGGGGTCTTAAATGTCACCCCTTGTATGGAACCACTGTAACTTATGGTGTGAGATATATAAACCATGGATGCATAAATAAATTTAAATGTTGTTCTTGGATGAATATATCTTGTATTGATGGTTGCTGCATGATCATTTTATTTATTTATTTTTGAATGGTAAAGCAAACACACAAACACTTTTTCCCACACTTGGACTCAAAATCTTCCCGCCCTCTTTGAGGATGGTTGTTGCATACTATGTGGGCAAAAATGCAAAAATTTCATGAACTATTGAGTAGTTGCAAGAAGCTAGCTCCTATACTATTTTTTGTAGCATGTCTATAAAAATGTAGGGCTATAGCTTAGGCGGATTAGGCGAGTTTGAGTTATAACTTGAGCCCAACTCCAATCCGAGTTTGAGGTATAACTTGAGTCCAACCCACCATACGAAATGCTAAATCCAAACCCAACCCTAACCCTATCCTCAACCTTAACTACTCAACCCAAACCCTCACTCTATCCTCAACCTTAACTACTAAACCCAAGTCCAAGCCCAACCCATCCTTTTAAATTCGGGCTTGCAACTCGGGCTTAGATTCCGGGTAAAAACTTTGAGTTAATTCGGGTTACTCATATGACTAATCTTTACACCGAAAATTTAATATGATCTTGAATTAGTTTTAGATTAAATTACTCTTAAACAATAAAAAGTTTAAAGACTTTCTATAGATTTTTAATAAATTACAAACAAATTTTTAGAAAATTAATTCACTTAAATGTTAACATATAATAAGTTAAGATTTAACAAAACAAGTTGAAAAGAAAAAAAGTAGTCATAGTTTAAATATTATATATAATGTATTTAAAAGTAAAAATATTTATGAATAATATTAGAATTTGGGTTTGGGTTGGCTCGGGTTGCTAGCACTTCAACCCAAACCCAACCCTAATTAAATTTGGGTTGAGGTTTTTCAACCTAAGCCCAACCCTAATTATAAAAATAATTGTCCAAACCTGTTAAAAAACGGGTTGGGTTCAGGTTACCTAACTCAAGTTGCACCCCTATAAAAATATTGCATATTACCCGTTAGAGGTCACCAGAGTGTACTTTCTGGAGGGCACATTACTTCACCTTCACATTTAATGATGAAAATGCCCTTGCATATGACTGTTGTATCACCTTCTCTATAAGATCCATTTGTTGTTACTTTAGCTCACCATTCGTATTTCTCCTCTCTGCAACTGAAGCTGCTATCTCCAACAAGCAACATGTAAGTTTTGATTTATTATACGTATATGATCATATAAATATATATTTCAGGCGAGTCTATATATGTTCATGTATAAAATGAAATGCTTCATAAAATGAAATGCTTCATAAAATGAAATGTGTATTCACATTAACCTGCTTAAATGAATCTATGATGAACCAAGAGGGGGTGGGGGTGAATTGATTCTTACACTTTTTCAACACTTAAACACCTTTCTCAAACCAATGAAGCACCATGGCTTGATACCAATACACACAGATGTCAATAGGGTGATGAAACCCTAATCTGTTTGATGGAAGTTCACAGCCACAAAGACACAAGGATTGTATAAGGAAAACCCCTCTCAATAGAGATCAAAAACTTTGATTCTTGGGTACACACCCAATGTAAAATCTACTAGTTGTGATGCAAGTTGATACACACTATAATGTTTCTCATTTTTCGGGATTTATTTATTTATCGCCTCGTTTTGCATGTCGAGTATCGTTCTGTAATGACCCGGATTTTTACGAATATTTTTTTTCCGTTGTCTTTCCTTTCGGAGTTCAGTTCCTCTTCGCTTAGTGTCGTCTCGAGTGCTTTGGAGTGATTTCCGAGACTCTTTTATATGGATTGACAACTTCCTTTGAGGACCGAGTCATTTTTGCATTTTTCGTTTTTTGACACTATTCACTTTTTGTCATTTTTCCTATTTCATCCTTTTCCCTATTTTGTCTTTTCCCCGTTTGACACTTTGTTGGCGTAACCACACTTCTTGTGTTCGGAGTTGGTTTTTGACTTCATGTATCTCCATCTTGAGTGGTTTCCATGAAATACGTATCTTTATTTTCGCAAGAAAGTACTCTGGTTGTTTCCGGTGTCCATAGGGGCATGGATGCAAAGTTCTTTGAAATTATTTTCTTTTCTTGGGGTGTTTTTCGTAAATATCTTTTGAAGATATTTTATTTCAGGGGTTTTTAAGAAAATATTTTTGGAAGATATTTTCATTCTGGGCCATAAGTGCAGTTTTCACTTTTTGGAGGGGCAATTGTGCAATTAATGAAAGTTATTGCAAAATGTATTGTTTTGAGCCTGGATCCTTGTACGGGATTCATTTTCACATTTCGTCGAATTGTGTACTCTTGGAATTTCCTCCTGGTCGATGTTTTCCAGTTTCAGGGTTTCTGGCCCCGGTTTGCGCCAAACTTGTTTTGGGCATAACTTTCTGCTCGGGACTCAGTTTTCAACGCTGTTTCTTCCGTTGTTCATATTTTATCATTTTGAATCTTTTTTGTTCAAAAATTTTTGCCATTTGAGCGCGTATGCTCAAATTTTACTTTTTCGGACCCGGCGGGGCCCGTTCGGGACACTTTTTGAGATTTCTATAAAAGGGGGGTAAGATATTTCATTTTTCATCTTCTCCCCTCTTCATGCACGACCTGGAGCTCCCATGGCAGCCCAAGGGGTGCTGCCACCTTCTCTCTCCTCTTTTGAGCTTCATTCCTTCGTCAGAATATAGAAGGGCCTTTGCGTTTAGTGTTCGTGTTGACTACGCGCTTCTTTCACCCTTATTAGAACCCATTTCTGACCATTCTTTGAGTTTGGGTTTGAAGTCAAGTTGTGATTCTAATGGGGCTTCCTTGGGGGTTATATGCACGGTCCTGACAAAACCTAGAAGTTTCGTCGGATTCAGAGCGGTTTCCATTTGGTGGCTTTTGAGATTTTTATCTCAAATTGAGGTAGAAAATGTTTTAGGATTTTATATGTGTTGTATTGAGTGTTTCTCATGATTATACAACTTATATGTATGCCTTGTATCAAATTTAAAAAGTTAGTAATTTTTATTTCTTTGTATAAGATTTAAAATTCATAATGATATATAACTTTGATTTGAATTGTGGCATGCTAGAAAATCATGTTTTAATATGTTTGTTAATATATATTAAATTGGTATGGATTGAATAAAAATTGCATATTTTATTTAATATTTATCTTTTGTGAAAGATTAAATCCCATAGCCGTACCTTGCATGAAATTGACTTGTGATATACTTTTAAATTATGTTTTGGCATATTGTTTAACATACTTTAATTTGAGAGCATTTGGACAAGTATGAAAATGTAGAGATTTTAATTAAAATGATTAATTAAAATCTAATTAAGGGTTCCATTGGCCTAACTAAGTGTTTAACTTGATATTTATGATAACTATGACTTATGTTCTAGCATATGTTAATTTGGAACCATTTGAAGTTGTTTTAGAAGTTAGGGATTTGATTATCATGATTTAATTAAATTCCACTTTATTGTTCTTATAGCCTAATCGAGTTTTGATGTGGTGTATGTAATGACCATGCTATATTGTTTATCATGTATTAATTGGAGGCCATTTGATTGAGATTTGAAACCTAGGGAATTTAATTAATTTATTGATTAAATTCCATTTCTATTGTATTATTGATTAACTCATGTATTTGACATTGAGAGTATGTTTAAAGCATGACTTTTGACTTATAATGGATTTATGAGTTATGTTTCAATATTGGATTATATTGTTATAGCATGTAACGAATCGCGCTCTGAAGATTCGACATGTGATGTTATTATAGCGCGTAACGAATCGCGCTCTAAAGATTCGACATTGTCATCCTATAGTTGTTGTGGATTTAGAGCATGTGTTGTGTGGTTACAACCTACTTGTGCATGAAGGTAGTTTCGTATACTGTTTAATACGTATATAAATTGTTAACTTATTTATTTTGGAGTCTTGGGACATTGTTACTATGACATGACTAAAGTTCGGCTTTAGGGCGGGAGGTATAAGTTCTCCCCAATTGAGATAGTGCGCACTAGGGTGGTCTTCCCAGCGGGTTAATGCCCAGAATAACCAATTTGTTCTTGGTTTAGTCCGAGACGTGATGTCCAAGTCTTCCACTATTTGTTTTCGCATTCAATTCCAAGTTATTAATCATGTTTATATTGTGACTGTGGTTTTGACTATTGGCGATTTGATGTTGTTAAGTACATCTATACTAAATTGTTATATTTAGTTGATTCCACACTTTTAGATTTCTAGTTGATAACTTAGAGAATCTATGTCTTGATGTGTGGTATTAGATATTCTAATTATGCTAAATTGTTATATTTAGTTGATGTCGCATTTTAGAATTCAAGTTGATAACCTTGAGAACCACTATGTTGTTGCTTAGTGCAAGCATGCTCATATGTTGTTGCTTTGTGCAAGCATGACCCTATGTTGTTAAAATTGCATGAATGAGGTGATTGATGCTAGAAATGATCTTAGGTAGCTAGGATGCTCCCTGAGTCTCACCTTGACGTAGACGTTAGGTGGAATGAACCGCAATAATTAAATCATGCAACTTGTAAAACTTTAGGTCGATGCATGCTCATTTCCTACGAGTAGCTTTATGTTACTCACTCCTACGATACTGGGGCATATTTCAAGTACAGGATACAAGATTGGAGATTGTAATTGCTTGGGTGATTTGCTGAGTTGAACTTCTTTAGAAGCATTCTTGTTCACATGCAAGTGTTAGCATGTTCATGATTTATCTATGAAATGTAATTTTTCTAACTTGGAAGTTTGACATGCCAAATGTTGTAAATGTATTGTAATGAGGCCATAGGCCATTGTAGCACATCTATTTTATCATAGTACATACACTTGCACGCTCACTTTGGCAAACAACACATTCCTTGATGAAACAAAAACTTAAAGTTGCATATTTTTTTTGTTTGAC